GGAAAAGAGTCCTCGGGGGCATGCTTTATTTAAATCCTTGTAATCCACATACATTCTTAGTTTGTTTCCTTTCTTTGGGACTACTACTACGTTTGATAGCCATTCGGGGTATTTGAGTTCCCGGATGTACCCTATTTTAAGAAGCTTAGTTACCTCGTCTTTGATGAAGGCATGCTTGATCTCGGACTGGGGTCTCCTTTTCTACTTCACTGGATGGAATTTTGGGTCCAAGCTCAGTTTATAGGTGGTGATCTTAGGTGGGATACCTGTCATGTCGAGACAGGACCAAGCAAACCAATCTATGTTAGCTATAAGAAATTGAATGAGTTTTTTTCTAAGCTCGGGAGTTAACCTCATGCCCAGGTATACCTTTCGATTAGGCAAATGTTCGATCAGTATGACCTGCTCCAACTCTTCGACTGTTGATTTGGTAGCGTCAGAATCATCGGGGACTATGAAGGAACGAGGAACCCCATAATCTTCGTCTTCGTTAGTCCCCTACTTTTCTAGTTGGGTCGATGCCGGCGTCTGTGATTGCTAGTTGGTTTCCTGTTTTGCTTTTGAATCTGACTCCTTTGTCGATGGGAGTGTTTATATTGGAATCACTTCATCAACGACAAATATTTCCTTCATAGCGGACTGCTCCCGTAGATTGTTTTGATACCCTCTAGTGTTGGGAATTTTAACACCAGGTGCAGGGTTGAAGGCACAACCCTCATGTTGTGGATCCACGGTCTCCCAAACAGGGCGTTATATCTCATGTCCCCTGACTACGTTTACTGGCAACGTTATTTCCCCCTTAGTAGTTCCACAAGCCATGTCGAATCCGTTTAGTACTCGGGCCGCGGTCACGATTTGGTCTTGTAAGCCGAGATGCTCTACGACCCTTGATCGAATGATATTGGCCGAGCTACCTGGATCAATTAACTTAAGTTTTATTCATGAGTGCAGATATTAACAGTGCATCATTATGGGGCTGTATGATTCCTTCCGCATCCTCATCTTTGAAAGACAAAGTTCCTTCTGGTATGTAGTCCCGAGTTCGTTTCTCCCTCGTGATCGACACCTTGGTGCATTTTAGAATCGGTCCTTGGGGAACATCGACCCCTACAATAATCATATGAATGATGTGTTGATGTTATTCTTGCTTGTTATGTTTATTGGAATCCTTATTTCTAAAATGATTCTTGGCTGGATCACTCAGAAACTCCCGAAGGTGCCCGTCGTTGAATAACCGGGCTACTTTTTCTCTCAACTATCGACAATATTCCGTTCTGTGGCCATGGGTGCCATGATATTTGCATATTTGGTTGAGATTTCTTTGGGCTGGATCAATCTGCAAAGGTCAAGGCCATTTGGTATCTTTGATACGTCCGATAGCTGATACGATGGCGACTGAATCAACATTAAAGTTATATTCAGACAATCGTGGTGCTTCTTTAGGTCCGATAGGCCTGTCGAATCCATTCTTGCTCATGAGCCCTCGAGAGCTCTAACCTCGGTCATTTCTCCTTTCATTTAGTACAGGATTTCGCCTAGATCCTCTTCTCATATGATCTCCATTATACGGCCGGTACCGATCCCTGTTCAACCTCATTTCTCGATCAATGTCCCTCTTGATTCTATCAACGGGCCTGAGAGGATAAACGGACCAGGAAGGAGCCCCAAGTTGGTCGTCTTCGACCCTGATCTTTGATTGATATCGATTATGCGCATCAGCCCAAGTAACAGCCGGGTATTCTATCAAATTATGCTTCAACTGTTGCGAAGCCACTAAGCTTCGTACATTGAGTCCTTGGGTGAAAGCTTGAATAGCCCAATCATCGGCGACCTGTGGCATATCCATTCGTTCCATTTGGAATCGAGACACGAATTCTCTGAGCATTTCGTTGTCCTTCTGCCTTACCTTGAAAAGGTCCGATTTCCTAGTTTCGACCTTGATGGCCCCAGCATGCGCCTTTACAAAGGAATCTGTAATCATAACAAATGAATCAATAGAATTAGGTGGTAAATTATGGTCCCATATCATAGCTCCCTTTGACAGGGTCTCCTCGAATTTCTTTAGTAAGACAGATTCGATCTCGTCATTTTCTAGATCATTTCTTTTAATAGCACATGTGTAAGAGGTGGCATGCTCGTTCGGGTCTGTCGTTCTATTGTATTTAGGAATCTCGGGTATGCGAAACTTCTTGGGAATCGGTTTGGGAGTCGCGCTCGAGGGAAAGGGTTTTTGCACGAACTTTTTGGAATCCAGACCCTTCAATATGGTGGTGCCCCCGGGATTTGATCGACCCTGGAGTTGTAAGTTTCCACCTTCTTGTCATTTGCCTTGATCTTCTTTTCCTCCTGACTCAAATCGTTTTGTTAGTTCTTAGAGCATCTTCATGATTGCAGGATCGGCCCCCGATTCATTCCCATTCGATTTTCTTGAAACTGATTCGACCCTATGGGCAACTGCCTGGGACGGCTTGGGCTCGATCCTGCTTGGTGGGTGAATCTGGTTTTGGAGCTGGGCTATCGCTGCTTGTTGAGCCTGCAATATTTCAAAGATCACCCGAAGGCTGATCCCGCCCTCTTTACCACCATGTGTGCTTTGAGCGGCTGATCGAACATCGCTACGGATGTTGCTCTCGGGATCGACAGCCAAATTTGTATTGATGGCTACATGCGAGCTGACGTCGATTGGACCTACAACCGGAACTCCATCGAGGCCAACTAGAGGTATGTCGTTCCCTGGTGCTATGTTATCATTTTTGTCGTGGTGACCGAAATCATTGTCCACGTGTACGGGTGCTGACTGAGAGTTCGACATGTTGATCCTGGAATCAAAGATACTTAAAAGAACAAATGTAAAATAGTGTGTGTTATGAAAACTTGTACCATGTAATTACTATTGTCCTTAGCCCCATGGTAGGCACCAAACTGTTTACCCTTTAAATCGGATAACGATTGAATTTATATGTGGTTTTAAGGATACATGATACAACTTGGTACGAATTAAGAGAATAGATTAATATTGAAATTGACGATAAAAGAATAAATGCAAATCACACAAATCGAACAGCCTTGGCCCTCGAGTTCGATCACCCTTGAACTAATAGATGTTTCAACTGATGTATGAATAGAGTAACAAGACGATAAAAGCTAGAAAATGATAGTATATTACTTTATGTTGTGTAATGTGATCCCTTTTACAAATGATCGGGCCCCATTTATATAGTAGGGGAGTTCTACTCTTGATACAATTTTATTTGAGGTAAGAAATCTCATGATTAGCTAATTAATTGGCATATCCTTGATACGTGCTGAGATTTCTGCCGTGATCTACAACCGATCGCGAATATTTCGTCCTTCTGTTATTCGGTTTGACAAATTTCCCTCGATCTCGATTTTGTTTGGTCCCGGGGTCTCGAACTTAACGGTATAACCTCGCACCTCGATTCGATATAATTCGAGGTCGAACTTAACTTATCATATTCCCGTCTGGATTAGTCACACAAGGGGCGAGCCTGATTTTGACGGTCCACAACTATATAACTAAGCGTGTGAGAAATGAGAACTGCACAGCAATATCTCTTACTCAACTTAAATTTCCCGGGTATTCTTTTAGACAGCTTAACTTTCCACTACATGAAAGGATAAGAGTAAAATATAAACATGACTCGTTTACTAAAACAAAAGGAAGGAATACTTTTAATGTACTATCTATAAAGATGTTCCGCAAAGTTAAGGTGGGCATGAAGTCATGAACTATGAAGTATTTTAATCAAGTTAGGGTGGTAATCATGTATTAAGCCAAAATAAAGTACTATCAAAACTCAACTTTGGCAAATTACTCCTAGGATAATCTCTTAGCGGCCATTAGGGGTGTACATGGATCGGATTGATTCGTATTTTTTAATTACCAAACCAAATCAATAGTGTCGGATTTTTAAATCTATAAACCAAATCAAACCAATAAGTTGAGTTTTTCAATCTCGATTTTTCTAGGATTTTTCGGTTTTTTTTCCCGAATTTTCGGGTTCCTTTTCCTGTAAAGTCTTCATAGCACAAAATATGTAACTTGTGCTCCAAATATTTCTTTAGTCCTAGTAGGATACAACTATATAATGTATTTTTCATTAAAATAACACAATAATATGAGATGAGTTATAGCATTGTACTAAAATATTTAATAACAAAGATAATAAAATCACATAAAGAAAATATTACTAATTAATACGCCATAATAAAAATTAACATAATCTAAAAATACTATATAGGTCATGCTAAAATAAGTACAGCTAATAAGTACTATTAATTAGACAACTAAGTACTAAAGAAAAAGATAAACTAGGTTATGCATTTTCATTACAAACCAATGCAAAACTTAAAAATAAATATCCAACACTATTGTCATTCCTAGTATTGAATTGAATTTCCTTTATTAGCATTAGTAGTGATTTGATTTTTATTTGACTTACTACCTTTATGGGCTATAAGATTTATTGGTCCATTCAAGAATGTTAAATCCAAATTTTAAATAATACGTTTAAAGATAAACAAATTTAAGAAATATTTATAAATTATATTACAATAAATATTTGTATGTATAACATATTTTTAAAAATTATATAAATATAATGTCGGGTTGGTTTGGTTTCGGTTTGACTTTTTTTAGTTAAAACCAAACCAAACCAATTATGGTCGGGTTTTTTCTTCCAACACAAAACCAAGTCAAATCAAACCACAATTGAATTTTTTTCTTGATTTGACTCAGATTATCGATTTAGTGCGATTTATCGATTTTCTTTGTACACCCAAAACTGACATTACCGATAAACCGTGGACCCCGGATTATTATTTTTTTTTTTTTACAAATATAGTAAACAAGGGTTAGTTTTATTTCACCTCAGATTTTTTCTTTTTCTTCGGTCCCTAGATTTTTTCTTTTTCTCCAGTCCCTATATCTTTTTCGGAGAGACATTTCTGGCATTCTTATATAAACTGCCCTCAGTTCAGCAGATACCCAGATCTGAAAATTTTCGGAAGGCGTCTTGATAAACGTCGTTTCCTGTTCCATTCTCCTTCTACACTTTCTCTTTTTGAATTTCTTTAAAAAAGACAACTGTGAAAATGAGAGAGTGCATTTCAATCCACATTGGCCAGGCCGGTATTCAGGTCGGAAATGCATGCTGGGAACTTTACTGCCTCGAACATGGCATTCAGGTATTTTTATAGATCTGTTTAAATTCAAGTATATGAATTGAAAATTGTTTATATATGTGTGCACATTTTAGATCCATTGTGAAATTTAGTTTTACATATATTATTATTTTTTATTTTTAATATGCGTATTCTGGCGGTTAGAACTATTTGAAGACGCTGTTTTTTTTTTATTAGATCTAGGTTGAATCAGAATAGATATTCATGAAAAGTATGATATCATCTTATAGATCTAGTTGAATAAAAATTGTGCGCATATGTGTGAATATTTTGGTTTCATTTGCATTCTTATCGCTATTATTCTTTCTGCAAATTGGTACATTACTACCCATTAATCTGTCATTGTGAAATTGATTTTTGTAATTTTTTGTTATGCGTTTGGTAACCTGTTATCACGTGCATTGTTATCTCCCTAAATCTATTGGAATTGAAAATGGCGGTTATAAATCTAGTTGCTTTTGAACAGATTGGAATGGAATTCATTTTTTTTTTCTTATAGATCCACTGGAAATTGCAAATTCTCTGAATATTTCTTTACATTTTAGAACTAATTCAGTTTCTTATTTCTTTATGTCCTATGTGCTGGTTACAGATAGGTTGATATATCAATTGGTATTTAAAAGAGCCAGAAATATGTAATTTCTTTTTGTGAAATTATCCTCAATCTTGTCGAATGCTAGGGGGTAATTTGTGTTTTTTTCGAAGTTTAAAAACCTTTATTACATTTATTTCAAATGTATTTTCTATATAATTACTGATAATGTACGATGTATCATTTGGTTTGCGAACATATACAATCCACTGTACTGCAAACAGTTGGAATATATATTGAAGTATTGTGTAGATTCAATTTAATTCTCTGCATTCTATAGTGCCTATGTACATCTTTTTGTTTTGAAGTCCTGTTTATTCTGCATCACTGAAAATCTTGTTTTTCACTTCTCCCATAGCCTGATGGCCAGATGCCGGGTGACAAGACTATTGGAGGTGGTGATGATGCATTCAACACCTTCTTCAGTGAAACTGGAGCTGGAAAGCATGTTCCACGTGCTGTTTTTGTAGATCTTGAGCCTACTGTCATTGATGAAGTCAGGACGGGAACATACAGACAGCTCTTTCACCCCGAGCAGCTCATCAGTGGCAAAGAGGATGCAGCCAACAACTTTGCCCGTGGCCACTACACAAGTAAACATTATTCCTTGACGCAATGTTTCCTATTTTTTTTAGCTCAATAATGTGCTGGTAGTTATCTTTTTGTCTTGTTTGCAGTTGGGAAAGAAATAGTTGATCTTTGTTTGGATCGCATTAGGAAGCTTGCAGACAACTGTACTGGCCTTCAAGGTTTTCTGGTTTTCAATGCTGTCGGTGGTGGCACTGGTTCTGGCCTTGGATCACTTCTACTGGAACGTCTCTCAGTTGACTATGGCAAGAAATCAAAACTTGGATTCACAATTTATCCCTCACCACAGGTCTCAACATCTGTTGTGGAGCCTTACAACAGTGTGCTTTCAACTCACTCGCTGCTTGAGCATACGGATGTTGCAATCCTTCTTGACAATGAGGCCATTTATGACATTTGCAGGCGCTCACTGGACATTGAGCGCCCCACTTACACCAACCTTAACCGCCTTATTTCACAGGTAATTGAGTGCATATCATTCTGGGCTGTATTGTACATACTATATTCTTCTTCAATCGTAGATAGTAATTTCTGTGCTTCCAATGCAGGTCATTTCTTCTCTGACTGCTTCTTTGAGGTTCGATGGAGCCTTGAACGTTGATGTGAATGAATTCCAGACCAATCTTGTACCCTATCCCAGAATCCACTTTATGCTTTCCTCCTATGCTCCAGTCATTTCAGCTGAGAAGGCTTACCATGAGCAGCTCTCAGTTGCGGAGATCACAAACAGTGCCTTTGAACCCTCTTCTATGATGGTTAAGTGTGACCCTCGCCACGGCAAGTACATGGCTTGCTGCCTGATGTTCCGTGGTGATGTTGTGCCAAAGGATGTCAACGCTGCTGTGGCCACCATCAAGACCAAGCGCACTATCCAATTTGTTGACTGGTGCCCAACTGGATTCAAGTGTGGTATCAACTACCAACCACCAACTGTTGTCCCTGGAGGTGACCTTGCCAAGGTGCAAAGAGCTGTGTGCATGATCTCTAACTCAACCAGTGTTGCTGAGGTCTTCTCGCGCATTGATCACAAGTTTGATCTGATGTACGCCAAGCGTGCTTTTGTGCACTGGTATGTGGGTGAGGGTATGGAGGAAGGTGAGTTCAGTGAAGCACGTGAGGACCTTGCTGCTCTGGAAAAGGATTATGAGGAGGTTGGTGCTGAAGTTGACGATGAAGAAGGGGGTGATGAAGGAGATGAGTACTGAGTGACTATTCTGGTCTAATGTGTTTGTTTTTGTGTTGTTTGGTTGATGGTTGATGGTTTTCTATTGCGCTCCTAGCAATTAGTATTTCCTATTGTGTCTTCTAAACTGTAGTATGCTGTTGTTGAAGTCAAAATATGTTCGTTTGACTGGTTACTTTACATTTCGTGCATGGTCTATATGATTTCCTATGGCTGCTTTTGTGATTCCTGATGAAATTGTCAAGTCAACCAATTTTATCTGTTCCTTTTAAATTCTTGTGCTGCTGTTGGGTCCCTTTTCCATCTTAAAAAAAGAGACATACTTCAGTTAAAACATTTTAATTAGCACATAGCTAAACTGAAAGTTAGTCTTTCCTTGTAGTAGTAGTAAGTAGTAGTGGTAGTAGCTAAATTTGGTGAAGCGTATTGAAGATTTTTAGAATTTAAAACCTAGTATTGATTGGATTTCTTTGTTGGGCCATGATATACTTCTAATCGTAGAAAAGAAGTCTCAAGCTTTGACTTCAGCCAGCAACTTAACAATAAAAAAGTTTGTACTACTATTTTGTAGCCGAAAGAAAGAAGTAAAATACAACAAGCATGAGTACAAAAGAAAGAAAATTACGTAGACTTACTCTAGTTGGTCTATATATTTGTAGTAGTTGTTGCCAATATCGTGTGAACATTGAAAAATTGGGTTTCTTGAAGCAAATCATGAAGCAAAAATTGAGGTGGAAGTATTATTTAATTACCATGATTGACTCATAAGTATGCATGTAAAAAGTAATTTTATAGGATCACTTTTTATTGGTTTGGTGTAATGTAAACGGTAAGTATGAATCAGTATTTTACTACTCTCTCCATTTCATTATATATATATATATATATATATATATATATGTGTGTGTGTGTGTGTGTGTGTGTGTGTATTTACCCGGAAAATGGTACAATTGAATTTGTTTGCGATTTCTAGACAAATGAATCAATTTGATCCCATAAGATAATAAATCAGTCAATTTGGATACAAGATACTTAGCTCAAATGTAGATAAAACGATAGATATGGAGAGCCCGGGGATAGAGTTTCCGGGCACGATGATTATAAGAACAACAAGCTAGAGACAGAAAAATAGTATCAAGACGCTGTATTAGAAGAATTCTTTGATGTCCAGAAAAATCGTCCTTTACAATGATAGTTGACCCTATTATTTATAGCTCAGTGGGCGTAATGGTCAGGCCCACCACTAATGACAATTATTGGAATGTGATAATGAAAACATAATGGTAAACATAAATGCCCGAATTCCTATAATGAGCCGTTACTCTTTAATGCTATGGAATATTCTTCATTAAATGCTGTCAGGCGCAACAAGCTTAATGCCTTTATGGACTTGCCTTTCTCGGTGACACATGGGGTAGATATGCCCGGTTTTCTATCCTCCCGGCTTTGATTCTACGTGTCCCCTTCTTTGGTAGTCACGTATTGTAACATATTTTACCCAATACAAACAGTCCCCCTACTTTTCGGTGACATAACTTTGTGTTACTGGAAAGTTGGTGAGAATCTTCTTTTGGCGGTAATTACTATAATTCCTTTTGAAGGTTACTAACGGTTGATTAGACGCCTGTCCTCCCGCATTTAATGCCTATAACATGCGTCCTCCCATGATTTAGCATAGGGGTGTTCAAAACCGAACCGAAACCGAAGCTTAATGGTTTATTGGTATCGGGTTAACGG